TAGTCCCAAAATTGACAAATTGTGGGCTAAAATTGATTTAAAAAAATTTGATTTTTAAAAAAAGCACATACTTATTCAAAATTACTGATCCTTTTAACACAATTGGTATAAATTGTATCGCAATAGGAGCCATATCAGGGCCGTATTGAGCAATTTTTTGATTAAAAATGACTCAAAAAGAATTTGTTTTGAATTTCTCTAACAAAAATGACAAAACTTTTGCGTTTTTTTACCAAAATCAAATTAAAGCCATGTTAAAAATTTCATTAAAATCGCTTTTTATAAAGTTGAAACTTTTTTTTAGTAGGGATGCTAAGCCTAGTCCCAAAATTGACAAATTGAGAGCCAAAAACCCCATTTAAAAATTTCGAAATTATTTTTAAAAGCACATACTCCGAATTACTAGTCAATTAAACACATTTAGTGCAAATTGTGTCACAATTGAAGCCACATCAGGGCCGTATTGAGCAATTTGTTGATTCAAAATGACCAAAAAAAAATTGTTTTGAATTTCTCCAACAAAATGACAAAAATTTTGCATTTTTACCAACAATACATCACTCAAATCAAAGCCACGTTGAAAATTTCATTAAAATCGCTCAACTTTTAACAAAGTTAAAACTTTTTTTGACTAGAAGTGCTAAGCTAGTCCCAAAATTGACAAATTAAGGGCTAAAATCTCCTTTAAAAATTTTGAAATTCTTTTTAAAAACACATAGATTAAAATTACTAGTCTTCTAAGCACATTTGGTGCAAATTTTGTCACAATAGGAGTCATATCAGGGCCGTACTGAGCAATTTTTTGATCCAAAATAACCCAAAATTAATTCCTTTTGCATTCCTCTAACAAATGAAAAAAAATTCGCTTTTTTTCACTAATAATGAATCACTTGGATTAAACTAAAGCCACGTTGACAATTTTATTAAAATCGCTCAACTTTTAGTCAAGTTGGAACATTTTTTTTAGTAGAGGTACTAAACTAGCCCCAAAATTGACAAATTCTGGGCTAAAACCCACTTTAAAAATTTTGTTTTTTTTAAAAGCACTTATTTCAAATTATGTATTAGTCCTTTAAACACACATAGCAAATTTTGTTAAAATAGGAGCTAAATCAGGGCCGTACTGAGCTATTTTTTGATTAAAAATAACCCAAAAATTATTACTTTTGAATTTCTTCAAGAAATGAGAAAAAAATTGGCTTTTTTCACTATTAATGGATCACATAGATCAAACTAAAGCCACGTTGAAAATTTTATTAAATTGTTCAACTTTTAGTAAAGTTGGACCATTTTTTTTGTAGGGGTGCTAAGTCAAAATTGACAAATTGTGGGCTAAAACTGACTAAAAATTTTGATTTTTTTAAAAATCACACTTATTCCATCTAAATTACTGATCATTTTAACACACTTGGTATAAATTGGGTCGTAATAGGAGCCATATCAGGGCCGCATTGAGCTTTTTTTATTCAAAATGACCCAAAAAGAATTTGCTTTGAACTTCACCAATAAAAATGACAACAATTGACAATTTGAGGGCTAAAATTCCCTTTAAAAACTTCATTTTTTTTTAAACGCACCCAAATTACTAGTCCTTTAAACACACTTGGTGCAAATTTTGTCGTATCAGGTTCGTACTGAGCAATTTTTTGATTCAAAATGGCCCAATATTGATAGAGTGAAGTTTTAAAAATGTGTTTAATTGGCCTTAAATACGGTATTTCTAGAGTTTCAACCAAAAAATATCAACTTTAGCGACGGAGAAAAAATTATATTTTTTTGATTCCTAGTTTCTCAACTAAAAAACTCAAATTAATTTATTAAACTCAAATAATTAACTAACGCAATTTTAAAAGAATAATTAATACTTTGTTTTGATTTTTGTTGTTGTAATTTGCAAATTTTGTAATTACATAAGTCGGTATGTTTGTCAAGGTAGCAATTTGTACAATTTGTATCCCAGTTTAGACAAAAAAAATCGATCAAATGGCAACTGTTTAGGTTATTTCCGACCGATTTCTTTCGGCTTTTACGACCCAAAAGAACATCTGTACATAATTCTAGGTATCGCCTATTCACTAAAAACATTTCCAAGAACTACTCGTCTCTGTCCTTATAATTAACGACCTCCAATTTATTCCAAAACTCCGGTAAACAACACGAATAAATTAGTCGAAATAAATTAAATCGTCGCAAAATTAGAGCAAAAAAAAATTCGTTTCAATGAAAAAAATGCGCACCTCAATTGCATGAATCATTCGGGACCGAAGAAAACCTAAGATTCCCAACGTATCATTGTGACAAAGAAAAACGGTAGAATTTTATAAACATTCATTCAGATATTATGGTTTTATTACCGCGGGAAAAGAAACATTCTGTTATAATAAAAATCGGTCACAAGTTATGGCTGAACTTTCTACCTGACCACCAATGAAACGTTTCAAGTTTCAACAAGGGGGATGAGATGTGAGTGGGGGCGTAAAATGGGGGCTTCAAGGTGAGGGATTAGTGACGGGAAATTGAAAATTTTAGACCCTAAAAAATTTCTGACATTGAAAAAAATCACAAAAAACGCAAAATTTTTGAAAAAAGTGCTAAATTTGATATTTAATCACTTCCGGTATAATATCAGGGCCGTAATGTATCAATTTTTGGAAAAAAACGAGCCAAAATATATTTTTAGTCTCTAATTATTGCGTATTTTGTAAATCAAGCTTTATTTAAGTAGTTTTAAACGTAAAACTTAACGTTAGAGAAGGTTGTCTACGTATCTTGTGAATTAAGCTTTATCAAAAAACGTAACCGCAACGTCGTAATTAAAATCAGAATAATCAATTGAAGTTACGACAAGATTGTTACGTTGCGTATCTCTAAACACACCTTTAGCCCAATAGTTGTTTACAGTTTATAGGCGAAATAAGCCCCTTTCACAGTCATGTTCTGTAAACCCGCCGGTAAACGTAGAAAATTATAATAATTAACGTTCTAGATTTAACTGCGTTACGTTGTATTAAACGGACCTTTAGAAATTAATTTCGTCAAGAAATTCAAGTTTTTAATATATAAAATTGGGGAAAACACAAACAAAATGTCTAAATCAGGCTTTATATTATAAGCAGCGTTACGTATATGTAATATATGTGTAAATGAAGCTTTATTAATAATAAAAAAGTAACGTAAAAAGTGTAAAATTATTGTATGACAAATAAATAAAGCCAGTTCACAGTTTCATTAACGTAACGGTAACACGAATCCGAAAAAATAAACGTGTCTTCACACTTTATGTTTGCATGAAATAAAACAATCATTTTATACAGTGTAAGACAAGCTTTATATTGTTATTCCCTTATTTGTTTAATTAGCGCGTAAACATAGCTTTAGCCCTGTAGTTGCTCACTATTATTGTGAGGCAAAATTAATATTTTACTCCGAAAATTAAGCTCCTTTCACACTATTGTTTACCCGTCGGTAAACGTAAAAAATCAGTTAATTAACGTAACTTAACAACGGGGATCATCAAGTTTTTTTTTATATTAAATAAAGCCGGTTTACACTTTCGTAACGTAACTGCTATAAAAAAAATTAAGCTTCTGTTTATATTTATTTTGTACCTACATAAAGTTTACACAGTGTAAGACAAACTTTATATTGTTATTTCCTTATTTGCTTATGTAGCTTGTAAACATACCTTTAGCCCTTTAATTGCTAATTATTATTGTGTCTAAAATTAAGTTCCTTTCACACTCTTGTTTACCCGTCGGTAAACGTAAAAAATCAGCTAATTAACGTAACTTGAACAGCGTGAATCACAAAGTTTGATTTTATGTTAGATAAAGGCAGTTTACACTTTCGTAACGTAGCTGTTATAGAAAATAGTAAATTAAGCCTCTGTTTATATTTATTTTGTGTATAGAGTAAATAAAACAATTTTTCCTAAACCAAGCTTTATTTTTAATTTCCTTATTTTTTTAAAGAAAATCTTCTTATATTACATGTGTGTAAACATACCCTAACTCTACAATTTCACACATCAACGTTAGCAAACCTATGAAAATAAATGTTTTGAAAAAAAATACTATTCCAAAATTAAATTTGACGTAACATAACGTAATAATCAATTTTTTACTTATTTATACAACTTAACGCAACGTAACATAGCGTAAATATGACAATGAAGCCACGTTTACACTTTATTAGGATTTTACATCAAATCTACTTCCTACGTTATTAAGTATCGCATAAATAGACATTTAGTTGTGTGATTATGTCTTAAAAAATACTATTTTAAAATTAAATTTTACGTAACATAACGTAATAATCAAATTCATACAAGTTAATGAAACCACGTTTACATTTTATTCAGATTTTATGTCGAATGTACTTCCTACGTTTTATTAAGTATCGCATAAGTGTACCTTTAGTTGGGTATTTATGACTTAAAAAATACTATTCAATAATAAAAAAGAAACGTAACGCAATGTTAACAAATGATTAGTTATTTCTTAACATAACGCAAAGCTAAAGTGGACTTTATTGAAAATAATGTAACTGCAATGTGTTATTTTATTGAAAATAGCGTAACCGTAACGTAAAAAATTGGTTGTAAAGCTCGGTTCACACTTACCATCAATAACATAACGTGATAATCAAATTTTTTCATTTTTATACAACATAACGCAACGTAACATAACGTAAATATGACAATGAAGCTACTTAGGATTTCACATCAAATCTAGATATTTCCTATGTTATTAATTATCGCATAAACAGACCTTTAGTTGCTTATTTACGTCTTAAACAACAATCTAGTAAAATTAAATTTTACATAACATAACGTAATAATCAAATTTATACAACTTAGAAAGAAATGATTAGTCATTTCTTAACATAACGCAAAGCTAAAGTGGACTTTATTATTGAAAATAGCGCAATTGCAATGTTTTATTTTATTGAAAATAGCATAACCGCAACGTAAAAAAATGTAAAGCTCGATTCACACTTACCACTTGAGCATTAGGCGAATGCAGCAATTCGTGTTTGTCCAGTTGGTCTTTGGTGGCGAAGGAGGTGGTGCATTGCGAGCATCCAAACGGTCCTCCAGGTCCCGACGTCGGCGAGACGGCGGCATTGGGTGTGGATGTCGTCGTCGTCGTCGTCGGCGTCGTTGTCAAAAGACCATTTTCAGGCGTCGTTGCTGTCAATTCTGCGTGTGATGTCTCCATGTGCTCTTTTAATGCATGAAATGTCTGACATCCTTTCTGACACTGCGGACATTTGATGTAATAGTCGCCGTTTGACGTGGTGGTGGTGTTGAGATCATCGCCTTCCTTACTCACGCCGTTTGTCAATGGGGAAACTGCAAAAGAACAAAATTTCAACTGGTGTTGTGACATTTTCGATTTGACAAGTCGGTTTGACAATGGAATACCTGGCCAAGTGGATTATTATTTCAAAGTGGATAAATCGGGTTTTTAGAGGCTAAAGTGGGTTTTACATGACCAGTAATAGTAATAAAAATTAACTGTTGTAGTATATTTCTAAAAACTTTTTTTTTCATTTAAAAAGAATATATCAACAAGAGAATAAACTTTAAACACATAAAATGGAATCAAGGTTATATATTCTTAGTCTCTAACCATTGCGAACTCCCTAAATCAAGCTTTATTTAATTGGTTTACTCGCTTTAAACGTAAGATTATAATTACGATCAATGTATCAAAGAGTGCTACGTTGCGCATCCCTAAACATACTTTTAGGCTAATAGTTTTTGCATTTGTGACGTTTAATGAAAACTTTATTACCAAAATTAAGCCCCTTTCACAATCTTGACTTTATGCTAAATAACGTAAATACCAACTTTCTATAGGTATTTAATTATGTTTAATTTTACATTTAGTTTAAATCGAAAAATCGGATAAAGCGGTTTTAAGACTAAAGTGGGTTTTACAAGACCAGTAATAGTAATAGAGATTAACTGCGTTGTTGTACATATTTGTAAAAACATTTTTTTTTTATTTAAAATTCAAAAAGAGAATATATCAACAAGAGAATAAACTTTAACGTAATACCACTTACGTTACGTGGTACTAAAGTGACCTTTAGAAATTAATTTGATCAAAAGTTGCAGATTTGTGTATTTAAAATTAATAAAAATAGCCAGAAACACTATTTAAATTAGTCCTTTGTTTGCTTATGTTACGTATATCTAAACACTCCTTTAGTTTGAATCAAATGGGATAAAACTATGAAAATTAAGTCTCACAAATTACATATCGCATAAACAGACCTTTAGTTGACTCAGTGTAACATTAAACTACATTCGATTATTAAACTTCAACGTAAGCATAAGGTAACGTAATTGTTTATTATAATATAAGTTAGGTCCCGTTCACACTTCAAAATGTCTTAACGTAATCGTAATCAATTTTCTAAATTCAACTACGTTACGTTTAAACGGTATTAAGCGGACGTTTAAAAATTAATTTCGTCAAGAATTTTAAAATACATCATAATAATGTCTAAATCAGGCTTTACAGCAGAAGCAGTTTTATGTATATGTAATATCGGGTGTAAACGAAGCTTTATTAATAACATAACAGTAACGTAAAAAATATAAAAAATAGTTTTATTTTATAATAATTAAATATCTCTAAACACACCTTTAGCCCAATAATTGTTTACAGTTTACAGGCGAAATAAGCCCCTTTCACAGTCCTGCCTTTTATACCCGCCGGGAAACGTAGAAAATTATAACAATTAAGTTTCTACGTTGTATTAAACGGACCTTTAGAAATTACATTCGTCAAGAAGTTTAAGTTTTTAATACATAAAATTGAGGATTATATTAGAAGCAGCCTTACGTATATGTAATATATGTGTAAATGAAGCTTTATTAATAACAAAACAGTATTGTAAAGTGTAAAATTTATTTTACGTTATGATCAATAAAGCCAATTCACATTTTCATTAGCGTAACGGTAATACAAATCGTGCATAGATAATAAACCCCTGGTCACACTTTACATTTGCACTGAATAAAACAAATCATTTTAAACAGTGTAAGACAAGCTTTACATTCTTATTTCATTATTTAGCGCGTAAACATACCTTTAGTCCTATAGTTACTTACATTGTTGTGTTGTAAAATTAAAACGTTATTACGAAAATTAAGCTCCCTTCACATTCTTGACCAATATGCCCGTCGGTAAACGTAAAAAAAATTAGTTAATTAACGTAATTTCAACACCGTGAAACACAAAAAGTTTGATTTTATGCTAAATAAAGCCAGTTTACACTTTCGTAACGTAGCTGTGTAAAGAAATTAATAAATGAAACTTCTCTCTATACCTTGTATATGGAGTAAATTAAACAATTTTGATTAAACCAAGCTTTATTTCTAATTTTTTTCCTTTCTTTTAAAGAAGATAAAAAATATTTGTGTTGCGTGTGTGTAAACATACCTTAACTCTATCAGTGTTACGCAAATCTCAGGTTTTACCATAAAAATAAAGCTCTTTTTACACTCTGACCTGTCGGTGGACATAAAAAAAATACTTTACTTCTGTGTTACGCAAAAACAAGACTTTAGTATGAAAATAAAGCTCTGTTTACACTCTTACTTGTCGATAGACGTAAAAAATACTTTAGGATTTATGGAAGTGCTTTTATGTTATTAAGTATTGCATAAATAAACCTTTAGTTACGTATTATATCTAGAAAAATACTATTCAATAATCAAAATTTTCAATTTTTAAAGAAAATATGTGTTTGATGCAACTTAACGTAGCGTAAAAATGATAATTAAGTTCCGTTTACATTTTATTCGAATTCTACTTTAAAAATATGATCATTTGTTCGCTATAAATACAAGATTTGGTAATTTTAACGCAACGTAACGCAACGTGACATTTTTATTTTTTTTTAAAGAAAATATTCTTATGTTGCGTGTGTGTAAACATACTTTAACTTTACAATTTCACACAACAACCATAAACTAGCATAAAATTGAAGCTCTTTTTACACTCTGACCCGTCGGTAGACGTAAAAAAATATTTCAAGATTCAAACAAGTGCTTTTTACGTTATTAAGTTTTACATAAATAGACCTTTCGTTGCGTACTTATTATTAGTATTAAAAATTGAAATTTTCAATTTTTAAAGAAAATATTATTAATTAAGCCTCGTTTACATTTTAATCGGATTTACGCCATTTGTTCAGTTTAAACGCAAAATTGGGTAATTTTAACGCAACGTAACGCAACATCAGTAATTTTCAAATAATAATTATCATTTCACTGTTTTCGTAGTTAAGGTGCGTTTACGTTTCCGTAAACTTAACAATTAAAATAAATTTCTACATTATCGACTGATGATGAATCATTTGTTTCCCCCCACAACCCATCGCGTGCGAAAAATCAAGTCAACATCGCGTTTCCAAGCCCACTTGCACCTGTCCAATAGAACAGGTTGCTTGAAGCCCCTCCTCCTTCCACCTGTCCAATCAACTCAAGACCGTTCAGGTATCTAACCAATCATAACAAAAGAAATTTCGTACTCACGTTGGCAGGTGTTCCACACATTAGCTAGACTCCATAATCGGTAGGAGTAACTGTCGTAACAACCAAACATGCTTTCACTGCGCGCCACCATGGCCAACTGAACCGAAAGCGACACGCGACGCTCCAACACTGACTAAACATCCCTCCTCCTCCACCTCCTGCATCAGAGGAGATGAATCCCCCCACTAACGGCGCGCGCAAAACGACGTCGACGACGCCGGACCATCGCCGCCCTCAATTCCGCGCCGCTTTTCACGCCGAGAGGACGTCGCGACGCCGACGCCACCAGACGGCATACAACCGCGAAATGCACAACCACACGAAACCACTTGAAAACCCGTATCAATTGCACGGGAAACTGACTTTGATAAGGGTTTTCCAACAATAATAGTGACTTTGACTGTTAATTTGAGCAATTTTCGAAATAATTAGGCAAAATCAATATCAGTTCCCTTTTTTTTGGTCACTATTATTATTATTATTATTATTACATCGTTTGAATTTGGAAAAACTCTATTATTATTATTATTATTATTATTATTATTATTATTATTATTATTATTATTATTATTATTATTATTATTATTATTATTACATTGTTTGAATTTGGAAAAACGCTATCAATTGCACTTTTTCGTATATCAAACCCTGTCAAAGTCTCGATTTAGTCGACTAGCCGGACCATCGCCGCCCTCAATTCCGCGCCGCTTTTCACGCCGAGAGGACGTCGCGACGCCGACGCCACCAGACGGCATACAACCGCGAAATGGGCAACTACACGAAACCACTTGAAAACCCATATCAATTGCACGGGAAAGTGACTTTGATAAGGGTTTTTCAACAATAATTGTGATTTTTCACGATTTTGACAGTTAATTTGAGCAATTTTCGAAAACTTTGGGCAAAATCAATGTCAATTCCCTTTTTTTTTGGTCACTATTATTATTATTACATCGTATGAATTTGGAAAAACTCTATCAATTGCACTTTTTCCTATATCAAACCCTGTAAAAGTGTCGTTTTAGTGACAATAATAGTGATTTTTCACGATTTTGACTGTTAATTCGCAAAATTTGGGCAAAATCAATATCAATTCCCCTTTTTTTGGTCATTATTATCAGGGCCGTACCCAAGGGGAGGGTTTAGGGGGTTCAACCCCCCCCCCCCGAAATGCTGAGCACTTTGTTATATAGTGTTATAAGTGTTAAAAATTTAGTTTTTTTGTTATTTTAATGAGTTAATTTTAAATTTTTGTGAATTAATTTTTCATGTTAATTATACAGTGTTTCATTGTTATTGTTAGGTACAATTTAAATAGTTAATAGAGTATTTAATTTTAAGACAAAAGTATTTCGAAAAATGCTATGAAAGGGAGCTACACCCCCTAAAAAAGGTACGTTTTTTAAAGGGTTTTTCCTATTATAGAATAGATAAAATTACAAAATTTGGTACCTTTACACAAAAGACCTTTTTTTTATGAAAAACTATGAAATTTTGTTGCTGAAAGTGGCAAGAAACCACAGGCAAAATAGTTAGAGTACATTTTTACCCTAATCCCGTCTAGTTTAGGAAGCACCTAATTAAAAATTTCAACATTTTATTTTTGTACTTTAGGTGTATAAAAGTTATCATCTGTAGCAAATTTTGAAATTTTTTTCTAAAATGATTTCGGAAATATTGAAAAAAACCTATTAAAAGACGCACCCCTTGCGTAGCATTTTTCGATATATGTTCATAGAAAATTTTTGTTTTAAAAATGAATATTCATCTCTTGTTTAAATTTGTAACAATAAAACGTA